TTCGCCACTTTTAGCATTCAGTCATTTTTGTTGCATTGTGCTGCTACAAATTAGGGAGAGAGAAAATACTGTTTTGAGCATTGTTATATTCCATGTGGCAGCCTTTTTTTTAAGCCTAGAAGATTTTTCAAGTGGGAAATATCAAGGGACGTTTCCCAAGAAGCCTAGAGAACACGTGGAAGATCTCTGTGCACTCCATGCAGCGTCGCACGAAACATTTTCAAATCATATCATCCAGCTGTGCTCTCACTTCGATGGAGGCATGGCTCTTAGAACACATGAAATGTGAAGTGATCAAAGGATTTCCAGACATTTGTTTTTGTCAAGGGCCAGAAAGCTTGTATGGGACATTCTTCAACGGGAAACGAAGAACACCATTTGAAGGGATTTTGATAGTCTATTCTAGGAATCAAACAGTTTCGTTCCTGTGCCTTCATAATCTCATCAGACTTCTCCCTGCAAACTGTTTCTTCAAAAATCTATAATTAGGAAGTAAGGATTTCCTAATTGATCACTTGGCATTAACTTTGGAGAAGGCATTGGATATGCTTGGTTCTCTTTCTTCTGCCTTAGTTAAGATTGAAAACAACTTGGTGTGAAGTGAGGAAAGAAAAGAGTCGTGATGTTCTGGCTGCTTTATCAGAAAGAACACAGAACATCCATCCCTATAGAGAAGAACTTCAGAGAGAAAAGCAAATGTTGAGGACGAACCTAAAAGTGAGTGGTGCCCTTTATAGGGAAATGACTTTTAAATTAGCTGAGGTTCAGTTGAAATCAGACCTTGCTGCACAGAAACTGTCTGGTTTATAATTATAATCTCAATATGATTATATTTTAAATCAAAATATAAAACGTTTTGGTTCCACTTGTTTTCATTTTACATTATATGCCTCCTTTGTAAAAATAAAAATTGAGGCATTTTGTAGAAAAAAAAGATGCTCAACTTTTGGTGATTAGCTAATTCCCTCAGAATCAAGGCTTGACCTGAACTGAACTGTAAACCAAAAATTGAAACAAAGGGCAAGATTGACTCAATTTGAACCTTAACCATTATGTAAAAGAAGAGAGAAAAGTAAAACTCAAGCTAAAACAAAAACCAACTGGCAATAAAGAATGTCACAACTGCAAGAGATCTTAGAACTTACTTAGTCCATGTTTTTCATTATACAGGTGGAAAAAAAAAGAGGCTCAGTGATTAAAGACTTATGTAAAGTCATGAGAAACCACTATTGGCAGAGTATGAGATACAGCAAGTGCGTCCATGTTCCAAATCCGTTGTCCTTTCAACTTCTCCAAGATATCCAAAAGTGTATCACAAAAAGAAGGGTTTGATTTTTACCTTTTCTTCTCAAATAATTGCATGGTTGATAAGATACTAAATCAAATTGGGACAAAATTAGAGCATCAAAGTATTCTCTAAATAGAACCTTTTCGGTTATTTTCTTTCATATATGTAAAACAAGTAGGCTTACCAACTCTTTGAACAGAATCTCTACCTTGTTGACTGCATGCTTGTAATTTGAAGCATATGGATTCTTCTTAAATCAGAAACAGACTATTTGCTCTCCAGGCTCTAGCTCTTTCTTTAATTGATTGCTATCCAGCACCCATAAAAGCTCTGCAGAGGGTATGGTCATTAGGGCATTTATGAGGATGCTCGCATATTCCTACAGGTATGGAATATCTAAGTTTGTAGCAAGTAACATCACCAGAACTAAGAAATGGGGTGTCAGTTGCTTGGCCCTCTCTTTGATGACATATGTTCTAGTGTTACCCCCTTGACATTGATCAAAGGTGACTGCAAGACACAATCATACCAAGATCGTTTATTTTCTTTAAAAAAGAGTTATTAAAGACACCTACATCTCTGTTGTTCTATACTCTGGAAAGGAATAAATATATTTCAGAATTAGTAACGGAAAAAAGCATTTCCATTTAAAGAACTGGTATGTACAGTTTAAAAATCAGTCGTAACTCATTTTCCTTTCTGCTTTGGCTTCTACAAAGCTCAGAAATAAATATAAAATGAGGCTCAATCTCAGTATACAGGCTTAAAGTCGAGGCATATTTGCTTTTGCCATTAAAACAACATTTTCTACAAGTCTTTCTGTAAGCCATCTCAGATCCTTTTTTGGAAGTAATGCGGTGGTAAATAATGAATATGTAAAACATTTTCTTTGTTTTGAGTCGGTGAGTACTATGTTTCTTTGTTATTTATAAAAAGTTCTTAACTATTTACAACCACACTCAAGAGTTCTAGGGAAACCAAGAGGTACAGGAAATGACTACCGGCCTCAGGGGTCTTAAATCTAGTTGTGCCGCTGGAGCCCTGTAGAGATAAATAACATCAGGTAGCATATTCTAAAGAGATTTCAAAGATCCATTCTATCCTTAGACTCTGTAAGTCTTATTATTACATTAGTAATAGGGACATTTGGTCAAAGGATATTCTGTTTTGAGTCAGCTTAAATAATGATATTTGGCTAACATTTTTCTGAGGGTGGTAAAGTTTTTGGGTAGTTTGATTTCTGAATATCTTTTCATTAAAGCTATTGTGTTCATGGTAGAAATTTGGAAAATCAGAAAAGTATAAAGGAGCAAATTAAAATCACCCATAATCATACCTTGGGTTTGTTCACATTGCATAAAAGAACACAATATATGTAATCTAGCGTCCTGCTTCTTTTTACTTCACATTATGCCTTGAGAATTCCTAGTCTTCAATGATAGGATTTTTATTGTGCAATAATTCATTGAATGATTTGCTCAACCATTACTGTTGGAGATTTAGATTGTTTCCTAATTTTCTATATTAAATATAATACTGTGATCTACATACGTAGTAATAGTGACCATAGCATTTATGAAGCATAGAATATGCCAAACACCATACTAAGTACTTCACATGAATTCTTATTTAGTCTCATAATAATTCTATGAAGGACTATTATACCTTGTTTACAGATGATGAAATCAACAATTAGAGGTTAGTTAAAGCACCTGCAGCAAGGGAAAAGATTTAACCCCTGATCTGACATAAATATTCCAACTTATTTTTTATGAATATGTAAATAAATCCATTCAAAGATTCCAACTGCCTATTGAAATATTGGCTCCAATTATTGGCTCCAAATTAAGAAATCTGAGGTTTTTTTCCATTCCTTTTATATTTTTTAAAGAAAAAAATGTCTAATGAATATTTAGTGTTTTTTGGTATATTTTTTACTTTAGTAACTACTATCCTACTATGATATAATAATGTGTTACGTACCCTTGTAGTCATTTTGTGATCTACAGAAAATAGTAGGAACACAGGTTCCAAAAATGAGCCTCTCATTTTTATTAGAGGACAGTAAAAGCACTATAATTGAGAGAAATAAAAAGAGGTGGTGAAAGTTCTGAATTTTACGGTACTTTCACATATGCGATTTTCATATATTTTCAAGTCCCTAGAGAAAAGAAATTGAATTAAACTAGTGAGCTTAGGGCCTGCACCACCCCTACTGTTTTAATGAATATCAGATAAGAATGATTTGCAATCAGTATATCATTTGATGGCATATAAAATGAGGGCTTCTAAAGTGCTTAACGATGATTGAAACGGTTTCATTTCTTAACTAATTCAAGTTATCATTGCAGATTAATACATCCTTTTGAAATAGTGTCAAACTAGGGCTGAACTCGGTTTGGATTGACGGGTTAATTTAAATTTGTGAACATCCTGGAGCTAAAATCCATTGATTTGGGCACCCACTCAGTGGGCCAAGGAACAAAGCAAAAGATAGAAGCAGAAAGAATTGAAATTTTAGTTAAAGCGAATTTCATATAGGCGAGCCCTTGGTGTTACAAATGAAGAATTAAAGGCCTGAGAAGTGAAAGAATAAAAGAGCCCAGCGAGCTTTCCTAACCAAAAACTTATATGAAGAAACAACCTTTGCTGACGGTCCCACCCTCGCTCCTCGCCCCATTCCACACTGCGGGCCCATCTCGCGCAGCTGCCATTTGTAGTCTTGGTGTCCTCCGGCCCCTGACCCAACTCGGAATCTCAGCGGAATGGGGCGCCCTCGCCTTCGGCCTGCAGCAAGCAGCCGCAGCTGCAGCAGCATTAGGAACAGCAGCTGTTGCGCACCCTGGCGGGTGCCTGGTAACCCCGAAGAAACTGGGAAGGTGGTTGGGCCCGAGGTGGGGAGAGGGTGCAATGGGGGCTGGGCGGCGACCCGGGCGTTGCCACGACGCCGGGGGCGCGCGTCCCTAGCAGCAGCCCGCCCACGTCAAGGTTTGTTTAATAATAGACAGGGTATTTATGGCCGGGGCTCAGGGCAGCCTCGGGGGAGCCAGGAAACCTTACCGGGCAGCGGATGAGGCTCGGCCGCTGCGGCCCAGGGCACCTCCCCCCGGCTTCCCGAACCCTGCCCGGTCCAACCCGAGGGGGAGGATGGAAACATCGGCCGCGCTCTGAGCTCCTTAGGAAGATAACACCCTTCCGGCCATATCACCCCGCAGTCTTGCGGAGGCCACCGACTCGTCCCCTCCACGTCTCCATCTCTCAGAGTGGGGCCGAGCGGATAAGTGAGCGATGGCGGAAAACCTGAAGAAACTGGTCTCCAACGAATTTTTACGATCGTTGCCTGAAAAGCTAGAGCGCTGGCAGAAGGAGTACAGCGTGAGTCAGGGTGGGAGATTCCTGGGGTTCGCCCCTCTACTCCTCTGCCCTAGTTCATTGCACAGCCCTCGACCGGGGTTTCTTAGGGCTGGAATCGGAGTGGCCGCTTTGCAAAGCCCTGGCGGTTAAGAGTCCTAACAGGGACCCAGCCTCGGACTGGGATCGCTGGGAGGGAAGGACTGGCATGTGTCTGCCAGCGCCCTTTCCTCCCCGCGGCGCGAGGAGGTGCTGGGGTGGCGCGGCGGGCGGAGCTCGAGACTGGGAGTGGAGCAGTGGAGAGCGCAATCCTTTTAGTGGTAACCAAGGACTCTGGCGGCCCTAGCAACGAGAAAGAGCTGCTGTCTGCCTGGGGTCTGGTCAAGCTGGCACCCTCCCTCCCATCCCCCTCCTCCAGCAATCCACCCCAGTACCCCCACCTCGAATTATTTTTTACTATAACCTCTCCCCTGCCCCCTCCTCTCCCTATGTCTCCTACTCTTGAGGATTCTCAGGGGTTGTAACAGAATAGAGTTTCATGAAAATACACCCAGGATTTATTACCGAGAGGTGAGTGAACCGAACACTTGTCAACGTTGCAGCTTTCACTGTTATGCTGGTCAGCGCGGAATGTAAGGCACAGTTTTAACACCAAGGCAGATTTCAGAAAGCCTGTTGCCAGGGCATTTGTAAGAGGCCAATATTCTGTCATCAAACTCAGAGCGCTGTTTAAAGCTTCCTAATCCCCACCCCCACGCCAGCTCCCATTACTCTCCCCCGTCCCCCACCCCCGACGGAAGGTAGAACTCCAGTGCTGAATTTGCTTTACATTCAGTCAGTCCGTCTTAAATTAGGAGAGTGTCACTCTTACACAGCAAGTAGAAGGGTGAGGCAGACAGAGCCAGGGATCTGGAATCAGCGCCAATAGGTCCTGGGTCTCGCTCTGCATAGAACAAATTATCTGAACGACCTGGGGCCATTTATTTAACCTCTCTGGGTCTCAGTACCTCCTCTGTTTAGGTGGGAGAGACCGGATTATATCATTATATCCCTTTTGGGATCTCAGTTTTTTGAGTCTAGCTGAGCTTGTTTCTGAAGTTTTACCAGGAAAAATGCAACTGGCTGCTGTCCTGAGTCCCTTGGGCTTTCCCATTCACCCTTTAACCAGGGCTCCTGAGGGGGAGGTTGAGAGGAGCTCAAAGAACAGCTACCCCTTTCTTCTCAGCTTTCCTTCTTAGCGTTTAGCCTTTATGGCTTTGCCCACTTTTGAAGAACTGTTCTTCATAGAGAAGGCAGGAAAATTAAAATTTACCTCTTTATTACAAAAGCCTTGGGGTCCCCCCACGGCCCTTACCAGTGCCTACTTGTCACTTAGTCTCAGAAGGTTGAGAATAACAAATCTTGATATACATATTAACCCTCCTTAAAACAAGCTCTTACAAAAATTTTTTTTATTGCCCCGTGGCCTAAATAAACTCCAAGTTTTAAAAAGCATGTTTAGTTTGTCACAAGACACATTTAACACAAATGACACTAGGCTGCACCAAATTAAATGATTGTTTTAGAAACTACCTGTAAGTACTGAGAAATGCCAAAATTTATTGTATTTTCCCTTCCAATTAACAGTGGCCCATCCCATTCCTCTGTTCTCACTGAAACCATTTCAACCCAGCTTCTCGCCCAGTCCTACACACAAAGTAGAAACTGCACTCTCAGAGACCGATGTCTTTCCAAAGTTTGTGTTCATTTCCCATCGTTTCTATCCAACTCCCTGGCATCTGTCGCATCTGACTGTTGACACCCTTGTTTTTCTTTTTGCCTTAACCTGCTTCCCTCTTACGGCTGTTCTTACCTTCCACCTCCATTCCTACTTCTCTTATACGTATGCTGATGAATCTCATATCTATATTCAGGGGCTGTTCTCGTCTGAACTCTCATTTCTCCAATGACCTTTGGACATTTTCAGTTGTGCCATCATTTCGAAGTCAAAGCTGACCTTACCTCTCCAATGCCCCAAACGCTGACCTCTTTCCTAATTTGTCTTCGTCATGAACCACTCTATATCTTTTTCACCAGCGTAAACTATTGGTGCTAGCTTCTAAATTCACACGGAACCTGAGCACTTTTCACCATCTCCACTACTACCACCCTTGTCCACCTTCAAATATCTTTCGTCTGGATTATTACACAAATAGTAACCCAAAGCAATTCTTCTAAATGTCAAATAAGATCGAGTTACTCCTCTGGCAAAACCCTCCAGACTTCCTATCTCACTCAGAATAAGAGCCACGGTTCCTAAGGCCATCTAACTCCTACACAGTTGTGTTCCTTTAAACTCTGTGACCTCATCTATTACTCTCTTTCTTGCTCAATCCACTATAGCAATTCTGGCTGCCTTATTCTTTCTAGAGCAAAACTGTCCAATAAAAGTTTCTATGGTGACAGACATGTTCTATATCTGCACTGTCCATATGGTGGCTATTGAAACAAATCATAAAAACAATAACAAACATTGCCAACTAATTTTTTTTTTTTTTTTGATGCTGGATTATTGCATTACTTGGCCTTTAAAACTGAGATTCTACTGAATGTTCAGTGACAGCTTGGCGTGAACACATAACTCAGAATTGTTTTCCTCCTTTGTGGTTATTGAGAATGTTGTTGAAAGAGCCATAGAGAATCCTTTCTTGTTCAACCAAGAACTGAGCCAGTTATTAAGAGCTTAATAATTCATTCAACAAATGGTGACTGAGCTTCTGCTATGTGTAAAGGTTTGGGCGAGACATTCTATATTTAAACTTTTTGTAGTGCACATTTATTAATTTATTCAACAAACATTTTTTCAGAGCTTACAATGTACCTGTCTGTGCTAGGTGCTAGGAATAGAAATGTCAAGTGTATCTTAATGATGAACTTCTAATTGGAGAAGAGGATGAAGGATGGAGGAAACAGCACGTGCGAAAAGCAGGGGTGTGTAAAAAGGCTGGGATATTTGGAGGGACTGTAAATAGTTCAAGGCAGGGAGTGGAAGTGAGATAAAGCCGAGGACGTGGGGTGGTGGGGGCCAAAGGGTGGAGGGCCTTGGACTTGATCCTGAGGGCAGTGAGGAGAAACTAAAAGCATTGTGCAGTGAGGACATGCGTTTGGACTGTGTTTTGGAAAAGTTGCTCTAGCTGTCACACCCTGGGGACATAGGCAACGCTAGGGAGAATGGACAGGACTGGGAGATACTTTAGACAAGAGATGATGTGAATCAGCCTCTTGTAAACTACGCTGGCACATTTAATGAACAAGGTCAAAGACTCTGAGAATGGTCCTAAGGTTCTTGTACAAAGATGCTGTCCCCAGTGCCCCCAATTTATCACACTACATCTGCATGGGGCTATTGGTCAACTGTGAAAAGGTCACGTAATGACCTGTGCAGAACTGGATTCTGATTACCTTATTGCTCCATAGAGATGTTAAGATGAGAAATTATCCTCCTGACAATGTTAACAGCACCTGGAGGTCAACTCTAGGCTGAAACTCTCCTCCCTCTGAGATGCTTATGTTTCCATTCAGAGTCCTGTGGACTAGGGAGTTAATTAACTTTGGTCAGATGCTCTGAGATTTATTACTTTTAAAATGTACTCTAGGTAACTATGGTAGCATATAAGAGTTTACTATACCCTTGATAACCCCATCCCTAAAATAAGATGGGCTTACATTTCTTAAAGTAAAATAATAGACCCAGGATCTGGAAACTTTTGATTATTTGATATGTGAATGGAGATAGTAAGGCAGGCCGGTAATGCTTTTTCTTGCCTTACTCTCCTCTTGTGTTATAGAAATCTGCACTAACAAGTAAAAACAGCATATTAAATATTAGCACATAAAAAGGAGCCTTAAAAAGGTTTCTCCTCTGTTTTAGAATAATCTTTGCATTTGCACTAGAGGCTGTCTCTCTGCCAAAATATGCCTAATTCTTAGTACAAAAGGTCATGTGGTTGCTATAGTATCTTCAAACAGATTCCCTTACCGCCTTCACCCCTCCTTCTTTGTGAATATACTGCTACATTCTTGAGGATTTGCTCTAATTAGTAAATTTATAAAGGACATTTTTCTTCCCTTGAGGACCTTTTTCTCTCTACTAGATAGACAATGCCGCAGTAACGAATAAAACCCCAAATCTTCGTGTCTCAGTGTTAACTGAGGTTTATTTCTCATCCATGCAAAGTCTGATGGCAACTCTCTCCATCCCTGGCTCAGTTTCGGGAACCCTCCATCTGGTGGAGCGGCCATCTCATTATAGGGCCTCGAAGGTCTGCAGGTGGAGAGATAGAGTGAGTAACTTGCACTACTCTTACATCATACACATCACTTTGACTCATCGTCCCTTGGTTAGAATTACGTGACTTCAGTCTAATTGTAAGGGAGCCTGAGAAATGGAAAGCTCATGGAGTACATGATTGGTGCTACCGTTCCTGCCACTGTTACTAATGATGAATTCATGGCTACAAGAGAAATTAAGTGATTGGGGCAGGTCATTTTATTTTTAGCAGAGGGGCTATCAACTTTTTAATTTGACTTTTCTTATCTTCATCTTGGACAAACTTGTTAATATAAAGATCATTATGGTTTAATATGTAAGGAGAATACACAATGAAAGAAATCTGATAGGAATATTAACTGGGGGCTGGGACACTAAAATCCAGTGGAGAAGCCTAAATAGAAGCTTTTGCTAAATTGTTGGGGTACATATAAACTTATTTTTTCTTATATCTAAAATTCAGTATTTTGGTTTTAAAACTTTGCTGTGGAGGTAGCATTGTGACAAAGCCAGCCATGATGTAGACTAAAGGGTTGATTTGGGGAACAGAGCTACTTGAAAGGCTGCTGCATATGGGACTGTGCTTCCTTAGGGGAGCAGTTGTAGCCTGTTACAACTAGTATATAAAGAACCCTTGAAAATTTTCAAAGCACTCTTCGTGCATTAGTGCCTTTAAACCTTATAAGAACCTATGAAATCACAGGTTTTATTTTCT